AGTTTATGATGGGTATTAATAATTTAGAGTGTAAAACAAACTCATATTTGTTTATTTCACAAGTGGGTGGGTGTAGTGTGTTCAGATTTAAATGCAACATAAGCATATAATCCTAACCGCCTTTGGATTTAGATTTAAACGTTGATACAACTCTGGTTGTAGCTCAGAAATATATGCTATCACCTTAGCTGAGCCAGGTCCACATGGAAGAAGTGGCAATATGTACAGAAAGCTGTTGTGCATTGAGCTACGTGAGCTTTCACGTTGTGGCTTCTGCAGCAAGGACGAAACTCAGTAAGAAGAGACCCTTCACTTTTACAGGAAAGTGATCTGCGACACCTGTGTCCTTGGCTACCTCGTGTGAAACCGAAATGGAACTATAAAACTCAGAAACACAACAGACAACTGGACATAAAAATGATAAAAAGCAACACAATCATTTAAACTTTAGAAAAATAAAAAGTTATGACAATGGCAGAGTGCCCCCAAGGACACCCTTCATGTTGAGACATGTGGAACTGTGCCCTTCAGGGGGCTCTTAAATGAAGGGGCTTTACTTAGAATGCTAATGGTCAAAACTAGATATACGTTGAATAAAGGTTGGGCTACAGGCTGCCTTACATCTCCATGCTAGGAAAGTTCTGTGGTCTGATGCAGGACTGCATGCAGCTGGTTCCTCCTGTACTTATTTTAGTTGCATCTGCCCTTCAGTCACACATGTGAGGGGGAAAAAGGGGAAAATTGCCAAAACTTCAGCTGAACGCTTGCTTTAGGCAGACCCTTGTAGCTCATGGTAAAAACTGCCTTTGAATGCTTTTCAGAGCCTTTAATTCTAAACTTGTGTGTTGAAACGCATTCAAACATGAACCTATGCTCCTTTGAGCTTCTCCTCTAACTGTTACAAAACATAAAGTAAATCTAACAGTAAAAAAAAACAAAAAACGTTTTCCTTCAATTACAAAGAGAACAAAAAGTTTGATAAACAATTAAACACATCAATCATGTCCCTCCTTTATCTTTTTAATTCGCTTTCAGTGTTGAGTTTCTCTGCTTTCAATGCAGCCCTGAAACCATTTGCAGGACAAGATGTCTCCTGTAGCTCTCAGAGGGACCCCCCACCGTGAGGAGCCAACACGAGGCCATTTTGGCATTCATGAGCATGATTGATGACACAGAGATGGAGGCGGCGTTTGAGAAATCTCCTCTGCAGCAGGAGAGAAAATGATGATTGTTTGGATGATTCTCCCCTGATAGTGCACCCCCCCCCTGCTCAGTGGGGAACGTTCACATTAAATGGAGGAGGATGCAGCCTAAAAATACAAGCGCTAATGTATAGTAAACACTGAATCCCAAAAGAGCAATCATTAGATGGTTTATCACAAATATTTTGACGTTTGCAATGATGCGAAGAATAAACCCATCGTAAATTTGACGCCATGACTGCCTTTTTAAATCCCTCTCTGCAAGTGACTGACCAGAAGGTCGCAATAATCTGACCATGCATCACAGTAATACAGACGTTTGCTGCAGGGGTTAACAACCAGCCCTTCCCTCTGAATGCACTCACATTTAGCCCCTTTTAATCCTCTCCATCCCCTTACATGACAATAGAGAACCTGTGCACATCACACGCTTCAGCAGAGATCATCTGCTGAAGCGGCTGAAGATCACATCAAATATCAGCACCGTTATTTCTGTCCCACCTCCACCTCCACCTCCCGGCGCAGAGTAAACAGAGACGGACGTCAAATGATAGCGCCGAGTGTGACATGCTAAGAAGTTCCATTGAATCCAACAGTCTTCTCTATGACTAACTTTCCATATCGCGTATCTCGTCTCAGACGTTTGGTAATGCAGAGTGAAGTGAAGACAGCAGGGGGGGCAGGCTGAGCGCAGATTTGATCTTTAATCAGAGGAACAAATACAGCTATATTACATGAATTTGTTTGCACTTGAATAAATATATATCAGCTGTGGATGGTAAAGATTCCCTGGGTGTTTTTTTAGATGTGCAAACACTCAAAGGGTTGTAGAGTAATCCACAGGTTCGTGCTCCCATGCTCTAAATACCTCCACCTTGTAGCTGTTGACAGATTTCAGCCCAGCCTGGTCAGCAGGCAGAAGCATCGGCTTAGTCTTGTGGAATTACTGCACCCAGTGAGCCTTTGGGCTACAGATCATAACAACATTTCTGTCATAACCCTGCAGTCATTTCACCTGACCTGTTTGCTTCTGTTTGACCAAAACAAAAAAAGCAACCGAACACTGGGATACTAAGCGTTTCATGAAATACTGTAGCAGTGGTTTTGCAGTTATGTTGAACACAAAAAGGTGTGTTATTTCTATATTTGTAATGGTTGTTTGGTTACTTCAAATTGGCCAGAAACATTTAATACGCTCTTAATGTGAAAGGTAACAAAACATACAGTTGATTACAATTTAATCTTATCAGATTAACGTCACATTATTTGATTAACAGATGAACCAAAGTCCCAAATTTCTAGCATATATACAACGTCATGAGATAAATGTATGTTTTCTGTCTAATTTGAGGTTAAACATGGACTGTTACCTCATCTGTCTGTTACCTCAATTTGATGTTTTACTTTCTGCATATATCAGATTTCCAGAATGTGCACAGCAAAGAGCTATAATCTACGGTGAAGATACAAACTGTGTGCAGAAGCAGTGAAAGCTTCTTTGTATAGAGCCTGACTGGTGACATGAAGGTTGGCAGGGTTTTTGTGTGTGTGTGCAAATCATCAGAGTTAATAGAGTGATGGCAGCTGTACGGCTATCAGAAACAATAAGCTACACAGGAATCTTAACAGCCCCCTTCAACACAGAGTCCCACATGGACTGACTAATCCACAAGTAGAGGAATATTAAGTGCAGTGTAATGTAATGTAATGTCATCACTCCAGAGCTTCCAGGCTGAAGCCAGGCTGGATGCTGTTGACCCCTGCTGTGTCAACTCTTCCAAAGCTCATATCACATACCTGCTGCATGGAAATAATAAAGTCTGCACAAAGGCTTTAACTGTGCAGTCATGCTCCTTGGGTTGGGTACTGAGTGCACTTTAATTACTGAAACTATACTTGTTGTTAATAGATCTAATGTAAGATTACACTACATTTCATTCTGTATTGCAAATTTTTTTATTAAATGTGACAGTTAAAGTTATTTATGTAACAGTGAACCAATGCAGATATACATCAATTGAAATTATATACCAGCAGCACAAGATGATAATATTCTCTTCAGATTTTCTACAGTAAATATGCATCTCTGCTTCTGTCACTTATGACCTCTTTTTGAAACATAAGAGGAAAGAAAAAGTTGAAGACAGAAATTTAACTTGCAAACTGCCAAGTGTCACCGCACAGGAAACTGCTTAAAGAATAGAATAAAAAATTTAATTTGTTTTTATAGACAATAAAGACCTGCAATGGCATGCTATTTCATTAACCTTTTTATGAAAGGCCTCTTCACGCTCACTTCTGTCATGATGTGTCTCTCAGCCTGATTATTGTTTGCATGAGTGAGAGGCAATAAGCGTCCAAGCCTTGAAGGGCATGTCCATCAGCGTGTGAATTTGCTGAGCTGTTGATAATGCCTTGTCTCTCCAGCAGACATGTAAGGTTATGACTCATTCAAAGAGCCGATCAAAGGACGATCATTCAGGGTGACATCACTCGGAGATGAGAGAGATTGAATTCTGCACTCATTTGGCAGATTAGTTGTGATGTCAGGGACCTGGATCCAAAGGATTTAATCAGGTAGTTATTCAACCCAACCATGAACAGGTGCGCCTCTTATCAAATATGCAGCCTTTTACGTGTGCCAGATTCATGGCTTTATAGAGAGAACCGCTGGCCCAGGAGCAGAAAAATGATGACCATGAGAGACAAATCAGCAGGGACAAAAACATCTACTCCTGTTTACCTTTTCCAGATGTGGACATATTCACTATATCAAAACATGCCAGGATATAGAGGATCATTTAATATCAGATAATGTTACTTATGATTTCAGGAAATGTATTGCTGGACTTAACATGAATCTTTATCTTTTAAACTTATGTATTTGAATCCTGCTGCATCCTGTTTGGTTATTCATGATATGGATCTATGATTGTTACTTATATCCTGACAGCATGTGGGTAATTTAAACATTATAAACCTGTAACTTGTGAACTCCTGTCTCTTTGCAGCTTAAGTCCCCTCTCTTTAATGCAACAATTCATGGGTTCCTTTATAAGTTATTAAAAGGGTATTAAGATTAATTGCTCCAAAGGGAAAATGCTGTGTCCATGCAGAAAGAGTGACTCATCCTAGTTATGGAGTGCTTCACCTTATCACTTTCTTTTTCTCAGGCCAGCAGGAGGTAACCTGCAAAGCTGACCACTCATTATCATGGCTTGGTTAGCACAGTCAGAGATCTCTACTGGACACATTCAGCTGCTGCTGCTGCCTGGGGGGGGGGGGGGGGGGAGTCTTTGCACAATCACTGAGTTATTGATGCCGGCTGATTGGGATGTATTGTTATCGCAGCATGAATGTGGGCTCTTATAAACTGATAGCCTCAGGACTGTGTGCTCTGGCGTTTTGAATGAGGGGATCGGATAGTTCCTTTACTGAGGCGAGCCGCAGAAAGAAGGCTGCACGTCCAGTCAGGTCAGGTCATTAAGGACTATTTTGGTAATTGAGTAAATCTCCTGTGAGTAAACTCAGTCTAAACAACTTTGACAGGTGGTTGACATGTAGCCAGTTGGTCAAATGCAAGAAAATGATCCCCTGCACCACTGAAGTTTTTCCCAAACCTACAGTAATATTATCATCAGAATAATTCTAAAACTTGATACATGTCTGGATTTTTAAGTGTTGCATCGAGAGCACAACAATAAATCCAGATGCGTTTCTATCCAATGAGTGTGTCTCACGGCTCCAAGCATATTGCTCGCGAGCATGCTTGACAGGTGTCATTGGGTCTAGCCTTACCTGGGATCTCCTGAAGAGGAACATGTGCGAAGCCGAAGCCTCTCCCGGTACATGCCTCCCTCACCTCGCTGCAGTTCCGTGCTTTAAAATCAGCTCTGGCTGCAACAAACAGCACAGAAAAAGTGCAAATGATAGTCTGTAGTCTAAGCATTGTTCACTTATATCCTTGATCTCTGCAGTATCCCGCGTGCTGCTAAAACTCCCCTGCAGCAGATCTGCAGGTATTTAATGACCGGACGGTTAATGGTTGCAACTCAACTATAAGTGACTTAACACATTTCCGAGAGCAGAATGGGGATCTACGGCAAGTGACAATGATAAAGAAAAGTCCTCCGGTACAGCATAAAAGACGACAGTATGGAGGTGCCACATATAAATCCAGACGGCGCGTTTCCCAGCGTGTTGACTCAACTTGTGTGAGCCAGGCGAAGCTTCTGGTCTCTGTGTTGGAGTGGAAATGCTGCGTGGAGAGGAGCGCACGGTGTTCAGATCAGATATACTGAGGCAGAGCGGGAGACAAAATATGGAGTGGAATCTAGCCTCATCCACGTCGGTGTAGGCTGCAGCTTGAAAACCTCAAAGATATATGATAAAAATTAACGAAATAATGCAAATCATGGAATTTTATAATCCCAATAAGCCAGGTTTTAAAGTAGCCTAAGTCATTTATGGGGTGTTTTAACACTTAAAATCACAATAAATTACAGTATGGCTACACACGAAATACATGTAGGGACATTTTGGAAAACTTACTGAAGTAATTATGTAACCAAAAGCTACATATAGCTGCTGTATCTGGTGAACATTTAAAGCTACCATGAGGACTTTTTTTTTTAGCTTTTTATGAAATATTCTGAAATGAATACTGATGCCTCTTAATGAGCAACAAAAGCAAACGAGACCATAAGCATAAAGTTAAGTGTGTGAGACCAAGTGATTAAAGGCTCATATAGCCCGATACACATACTGATGCAGACAGAGTCTTGTGTTCGGACTCTGATGTTCATTTCGTCTGTATTTCTGCACGTTGTCTGGAAGTTTACAGATACGGACCAGACATTGTAATATACTGGAAATCATGGGGACAGTGTAAAGCAGTGTAGCCAAAAGTTCAAGTTTAAGTTCAGTAAAACATAAAAAAGAAGAATATTTTGAAAAATGTTGGAACTTTTTAAAATAAAGATTGTGTAAGTTGGTCAGAAATGATATATATGAATATATATGATGTTACACCGACTGGGCATGAGTACAGACAATCATATTTGGTCTACCCTTTTATCCTAGTTATTTCTAATTATTTGTATTATAATGTCTTAAGTGATGTGATAGGATAACTGGACACATGTCACTTGTGTAAAACTAAAAATGTTTTTTGTGAAATGTGATTAATTCAATTGTATCATCAGTTTCCACACATAATTTAAAAAAAGCCATCACCATATTTGGCCTATACTGATGTAGATTTTTACTGAATTCACATAATGTAAATGCCAACAGTGTTTTTCAAATTCCACAAGGTATTAAAGTGTATTAACTAGAGGATGTAAAGGAAGTGATGGAGACCAGAAGGCCAGCTTTCATGGGCTTTATTGATTTTGGAACAACTTGATCCAAGGGTAGATCAACAGTGGATTAACATGGCTGCCGTCACCAATCAGAGGATTCCTATTGGTATGGGACACCACATTTTCAGAGGATCTTTGAAGTGACATTTGGCTTGTTTCAGAGGGAGACACTGCACTGTAATATTTCGGATCAAATATTAAAATCCACAAGGGCAGGTTTTGACAGTGGGTTAGCCAAACGGTTTCTTATTGTGTATATATTAAGGCACAAATGTAGTCTTATAGTCTGACAGTGGATGTTCTAAGCTATGAATCCTCCTCTCCTTTTCTAACTTTTTGACCTGGACATCTCTCAGTTAATTAATGTATCCAACTTTGAAACACAAAGGATGAATTCATCCAAATGAAAACTTTTAATACAATGACAATTTAATTTCATGGGAAACTCTTAGCTAAGATAACTATCAAGTGGCCTAACAAGACTGTGAGCCACTGCAGGGAGGTTTACAGTGTGTGTGTGTGTGTGTGTGTGTGTGTGTGTGTGTGTGTGTGTGTGTGTGTGTGTGTGTGTGTGTGTGTGTGTGTGTCTCGCAGGGATATGGGCTGCCTTCAGTGCTGCCTGTGCATGCCTCTTGTGATGTATGTATTTTCTATTTTAAGATGCATTGGGTTGCCAAAACATGTTTTTCTCAAGCAACTTCTTCCGGCTCTTTTAGGATTCCCAGACACTCCCAGACCGGCGAGATATGCTGGCTCCCCCTTTGTGACTTTATCTAAGGGTCTCATTCCAGCTGGTCATATATCCAATTCTGCTCCAAAGCCAGGTGTACAAAGTAGTCAATCAGAAACGCAAGTGCAGTTTAGAGGCAGGAGACCGGAGATGATTTGAAATTTGAGTTTTCTTTTCTGGCAAAAGCACAAACACAACTTGGCAGAAGAGTAAACACTGCAGCCACCAATGTGACTAAACTATAACGTTGGCAATCACTTGACATAGCAGGAAGCAACAAACAGAATCTACTTCTACTGTTAAGTGTACCTTTAAATAACATATAATCAGGTGTATCAAAGACAGTCTCTGTAGACTTGAGTACCATCAAAAAGCAATCTTAAAGCAGGTGATTTAAGTACTTGAGTTCAGTTATAGTCTGGCTTAAAAACACCTGGCACCTGTAATAAATTGAGGTGTACCTGGTACACCTTCTCTGCAGTTGACAGCTGCTTAATCAGCACCTTGGAGAGCACCACTGTTTTACCAGATTACCTGAACAACCTCATTTAGCTTTGGAAAATGAGAAAGTCAACTGTGCATCTTTAAAATAATCTGAGATTGCTGAGACGTATGACCCTATGACATGTGGAGACCAGTAACATGTGGAAGGTACTTATTTGTGTATTTACATCCCAAGTCCTTTGGTAATCAGCCTGTGGCGGTCACAATCAAGATCAAACTTTAAATAGAGCGGTGTGATTTTTGATTCTCTCCACATGATTTAGCATGCAAAAGTACAACTACAGTATAGAGTCAGCTGATGATGAGACTATGGGGACTTTTAAAATATGTTTACAGAAAAGTTTAAGATTAATTCCTGTTAACAGTGGCATTCTCTGAAAGTGCTATACTCAAATAGTTTTCCCCCAGATTGCAATCAGTAACTGAGTAGAACATTTTCAGGTTGAACATTTTCTAGGGTGGAATATATTGGCTGAATTATTTTCTTTGCCCCCCTCATTTGCCATTATTCTTTACTTATTTGTATACTTTCTGTGTTGTGGTAATCCAGGGGAGAGAGATGATTCAATCTTTGTTTGCCCCTTTTGTCCGCTGTTTTCATTCCTTCTTATGGGACTTATGTATATGATATACTGTATATGATTCTCCTCTCCTGTATATTTGTGGGCTGTTGTTAAAACCACAACATCTTGTTTTTCCTTTATTGTAAGTGACAATGTTTAAACATAAATAATAAAAAATTGATCACAAAAAAAATAACATTTTGAAGTTTCAATGTAATTAACAACAAAGATTTACAGTGCAGTGGTGACTGGGTTTTGTGATAAGGGCTGAAGGTACAACAGGTTTTATGGTTAGACTGTGTAAAACATGGACATAGTCTCAGTGATGTCACCCATTGGTTTCTGAAGCTGAGTTTGTAGAACGATGGCTATTGCCATGTTGGAAATGCTTTCACCATCTACCTTTAGATCAACTTAGTAACAGGCAAACATGTACATGTTTATTTCTGCTGTAAAAAATAGGGATTAGTTAAAGGTTATATATCTGTGACGGTATAGAGAAGGTATATAGTTCCATCCTTTTTGAATAAAAGAGAAAACTAAAAATGATCATGTTGGATGCTGAACTTTTAAAATCAGATGACTTGGTTTTTAATCATCCTTGGAGTCATTATGACGAATATACAAACATTACTGAATATTAAGTAAAATGATTCTTGCTGGCTTGCTTAAAGTCTTTCAGTATCACCCTAATACCTAAGAAATGCCTGCAGTTGCAACTGTCCTCTCCTCATTTGAAGGAGAAACATTTTTGGGTTTTTCAAGGCAATGACAAAGGTGTCAGACATTGAGGGGATGAGATCCCAGAGCTGATAGCATGATCTAATAAAAGCAGACATGTAATGTCAACTGCTTAAACTAGCTCCAAGCCCCTGTTGTTGTTTTTATGACAATGTGTTAATGAATGTCAAATGATATGATTCATCTCTTCCCCTGATCAGCTGATATATTGGGTTCACCTTCTAACAGAACCTCGTTTTTTCAGGTGTTAAAATTCCTTTTTCCCTGAAGTCAACACGTTTTTTTGTTTGTCTCTTTGACAAAGGTTCCTCGGGATCGTTAGGTTATTTAACATAGACAGAGGTGAGCCCCCATCTGCAACAGAGTTCAAGTTTTAAAAGATATTATTGAGCATTCAATTCCCCTCTCTTAGTCCAAGCTATTACTTCTGTAAATGAAAGACATGCTTTAGTCAATAATAACAATCAATCTGGAGACCCAGAGGGTCTGGTGTGTTCTTTACATGTTAATATAATATAGACAGTAATCAAAGGAAAGCATCTGTTAAAATAACATGTGTAAAAGTTGTTTATAGGATTCTTTCATGAGTCATGCTCCAAGAATTGACTCTAGTGCAAGTTGGTCCCATCAACTATTTATTCATTAATATATTAGGACATTGATCCCTCCAATACATGTATTGACTGCACTAAACATTCCTTAAAGAGGGTGGTTCATTGACATTTAGAGCCCTTCAGGGTATTCTGCCTACTGATACTGTAAGATGATGGCTCATATTTCCACTAGTTATCATACCATACAATGTGGATAGAAAAACTTAGTATAAAAGAGTATAAAATCTGTTCAGAACAGGCCAAACTGGATTCATACAATGCACTGTCGACTTTTAAAACCCATAGGATTCTTTTTTTTTGTTTCCAGAACATAAAAATAACACTATAAAATAATGTTTCATGACCACTGTACTTTAAATGTTAAAGGACTATTTTAGTCAAGTGAAACCCCTGGCTAAATTCAGGTTATAAAGCTCCTGAGGAACTTTATTTTGTGTTTATTTGGGCACCTTCTTTGGACAAAGCATAGGCCTATATCTTATCTCATATTGTACATGTGTAGTGTTGTTTTCTGATCACATATTTTCTCCTGCTGTCTTTTTCACAGTTATCACTCACTGGGAGTCTTTGCAGTGGAAAAGTATGGAAAGTCTGTTTCTGGCAAGCAAATACTTCCTTTAAGAGGCAGAAACCTTTGACAAAACCAGACAAATGATGAACAGCCATCTGTCAAACGGAGCTGGACTTGAAAAATGGGATAAAGAGAGAGTAAGGATATATAGG